ATGAAAATAATATATTTTTAAAAATTTTATGAACAAAAGTTGACTCGAAAATATTTAGTAATACACTAATACACATCATATTTTATTTATATTTTTAATTAAAAACTGAACCACCTAAAAAACCCTTATTTTCACATGTTTTTAATGGCAAATTGGTAATATACTAATGTCATCATATCTTATATCCTCCCTATATATAATTAAAAAAAAACATAACTTTTCTCAGTTCAAAATAAAAAACATAACAAATCTACAGCTAAGAACATGTGAAAGAACAAAATTATAAAGTTTTAAAAAAATATTAAATATAAGAAATAATATGAATAATAACTAAGTTGTGACACGTACTAATAAATATAAAAGAAGCTAATAAACAAAAATAATATAATTAATATAACTAAATATAAACCTTCTAAAAATATACTTATTGATGTAATCGAACTGAGTTGTTAAACGCTTGTTAGTTTTTTGTTCTAATTAATTTTATGTGTAAATTTGAGGTGATAGACAATAGTTATTTGTACATTTATACATATAGATTAGAAAAAAATCTTTATTATTCTAATTTTTAATACCTTTTTTATTCACTATATTAGTTTCTTTAATATAATATATAATTATCATATTGAACAGATAAAACAAGAAATATTTTAATTGTATAATATTTAATATGTAAGAAATGTAACTCAATTGGTAAATTAATAGGTAATCTTGGGATAAAATAATGAGTGATTTCTGAAAAAAAAAAATTATAGGAACTAAAAAGTTCACATGTTTAATATACTTTTAATAGAAAAATTATAAACACAATTATTCAATAAATACTACATAAAAAGTATAAGAAATCTTATATCCTCCCTATATATAATTAAAAAACATAATTTTTTTCAATTCAACATAAGCAAATCAATGAAAATAATATATTTTTAAAAATTTTATGAACAAAAAGTTGACTCGACAATATAATTAATGAATTTATGAATTTTAAATATTTAATTAAATTATTAATTAAAAAATTGTAATTAAATATAATATAATATAGGATATACAAATATTTGATATATAATGAGGCAGATGATCAAAAAATTCTATACTTTATATTATGTGTTTTTTGACAAATCTACAGTTAAGAACATGTGAAAGAACAAGATAAAGTTTTAAAAAAATATTAAATATAAGAAATAGTATGAAAAATAACTAAGTTGTGACACGTACTAATAAGTATAAAACAAACTAATAAACATAAATAACATAATTAATATAACTAAATATAAACCTTCTAAAAATATAATATATAAGTATCATAGTGAACAGATAAAACAAGACTATTTTAATTATATAATATTTAATATATAAGAATTGTAACTCAATTGGTAAATTAATAGGTATTGGGATAAAATAATGAGTGACTTATGAAAAAAAAAAATTATAGGAACTAAAAAGTTCACGTGTTTAATATTTTTTTAATAGAAAAATTGTAAACACAATTACTCAATAAATACTACATAAAAAATATAAGAAATCTTATATCCTCCCTATATATAATTAAAAAACATAATTTTTCTCAATTCAACATAAGCAAATCAATAAAAATAATATATTTTTAAAAATTTTATGAACAAAAGTTGACTCGACAATATTAATAATGAATTTATGAATTGTAAATATTTAATTAAAAAATTATAATTAAATATAATAGAATATGAGATATACAAATATTTGATATATAATGAGGCAGATGATCGAAAAAATTCTGTACTTTATATTGTTTTGACAAATCTATAGTTGAGAACATGTGAAAGAACAAGATAAAGTTTTAAAAAAATATTAAATATAAGAAATAGTATGAATAATAACTAAGTTGTGACATGTACTAATAAATATAAAACAAACTAATAAACAAAAATAATATAATTAATATAACTAAATATAAACCATCTAAAAATATACTTATCGATGTAATCGAACTGAGTTGTTAAACGTTTGATGGGTTTTTGTTCTTATTAATTTTATGTGTAAATTTGAGGTGATAGACAATAGTTATTTGTACATTTATACATGTAGATTAGAAAAAAAAAATCTTTATTATTCTAATTTTAATTAATTTTTTTATTTACTATATTAGTTTTCTTAATATAATATATAAGTATCATATTGAACAGATAAAACAAGAAATATTTTAATTATATAATATTTAATATGTAAGAAATGTAACTCAATTGGTAAATTAATAGGTAATCTTGGGATAAAATAATGAGTGATTTCTGAAAAAACAAACTATAGGAACTAAAAAGTGCACGTTTTTAAAATATTTTTAATAGAAAAATCGTAAACACAATTACTCAATAAATACTACATAAAAAATATAAGAAATCTTATAACCTCCCTATATGTAATTAAAAAACATAACTTTTCTCAATTCAACATAAGCAAATCAATGAAAATAATATATTTTTAAAAATTTTATGAACAAAGGTTGATTCGACAATATTATTAATGAATTTATGAATTGTAAATATTTAATTAAAATATTAATAAAAAAATTGTAATTAAATATAATATAATATAGGATATACAAATATTTGATATATAATGAGGCAGATGATCGAAAAAATTCTATTATTTATATTATGTCTTTTTTGACAAATCTACAGTTAAGAACATGTGAAAGAACAAAATAAAGTTTTAAAAAAAATATTAAATGTAAGAAATAATATGAATAATGACTAAGTTGTGACACGTACTAATAAATATAAAACAAACTAATAAACAAAAATAATATAATTAATATAACTAAATATAAACCTTCTAAAAATGTACTTATCAATGTAATCGAACTGAAATTGTTAAACGCTTCTTAGTTTTTTGTTCTTATTAATTTTATGTGTAAATTTGAGGTGATAGACAATAGTTATTTGTACATTTATACATGTAGATTAGAAAAAACAAAATTTATTATTCTAATTTTAAATAACTTTTTTATTTACTATAATAGTTTTTTTAATATAATATATAAGTATGATATTGAACATATAAAACAAGAAATATTTTAATTATATAAGATTTAATATGTAAGAAATGTAACTCAATTAGTAAATTAATAGGTAATCTTGAGATAAAATAATGAGTGATTTCTGAAAAAAAAAATTATAGGAACTAAAAAGTTTACGTGTTTAATATATTTTTAATAGAAAAATTAGAAACACAATTACTCAATAAATACTACATAAAAAATAATGCTTGAGAGGAGTACGAAATTTTGCTATACTGCAATGAAAAATTCAACGGTAAGGTATTCTACTAAAAATTTCAACGAATGTGTTGCTTTCATTATTCCAGTAGAGTTCAAATTAAGTTACATGAACTTTAGTGGATGTAAAGATTTCAATTACCTGAATTTCTATTGGAATTTATTTTTTGGACCATATTTCTATCGTTGAAAAAATTGTCATTGGTATTATGCAAAAATTGAATAGAAGTTCCATTGGAAAGATAATAGCAGTGATAGATCCAAAAATAATTTCATATTGGGAGCATTATTTAGTTAATAGAAAAAAAT